CAGGCTGAGGCTGAGGCTGAGGCTGATGCAGGCTGAGGCTGAGGCAGGCTGAGGCTGAGGCCGAGGCTGAAGGCAGACTGAGGCTGAGGCTGAAGCAGGCTGAGGCTGAGGCTGAGGCAGGCTGAGGCTGAGGCTGAGGCAGGCTGATGCTGAGGCAGGCTGAGGCTGAGGCTGAGGCTGATGCAGGCTAGGCTGAGGCAGGCTGAGGCTGACGCCGAGGCTGAAGGCAGACAGAGGCTGAGGGCCTGAAGCAGTCTGAGGCTGAGGGCTGAGCAGGCTGAGGCTGAGGCTAGAGGCAGCGATGCGGACGGCAGCTGAGGCTGAGGCTGAGGCTGAGGCAGGCTGAGGCTGAGGCAGGCTGAGGCTGAGGCCGAGGCTGAAGGCAGACTGAGGCTGAGGCAGCCTGAGGCAGCACTTCGTGGTCTTCCCTGATTTCACCAGAACTCCATTCCTGGGCATGTGTTTGATGCCCGTAGCACTGTATGCCGCTTCGTGTTCTTCGAGTTCCCAGAACTCCTTCCCGGCCACATTGTGAATGCTTGAGGGCGCTGAGGCTGAGGCTGAGCAGGCTGAAGCTGAGGCAAGGCTGTGGCTGAGTCGGCCGAGGCTGTAGGCAGACTGAGGCTGAGGCTGAAGCAGCTGAGGCTGAGGCTGAGGCAGGCTGAGGCTGAGGCTGAGGCAGGCTGATGCTGAGGCAGGCTGAGGCTGAGGCTGAGGCTGATGCAGGCTGAGGCTGAGGCAGGCTGAGGCTGAGGCCGAGGCTGACGGCAGGCTGAGGCTGAGGCTGAGGCTGAGGCTGAGGCAGGCTGAGGCTGAGGCTGAGGCTGAGGCTGAGGCTGAGGCTGAGGCTGAGGCAGGCTGAGGCTGAGGCAGGCTGAGGCTGAGGCCGAGGCTGAAGGCAGACTGAGGCTGAGGCTGAAGCAGGCTGAGGCTGAGGCAGAGGCAGGCTGAGGCTGAGGCTGAGGCAGGCTGAGGCTGAGGCAGGCTGAGGCTGAGGGGCTGAGGCGAGGCTGAGGCTGAGGCAGGCTGATGCTGAGGCAGCTGAGGCTGAGGCTGAGGCTGAGGCTGAGGCTGAGGCAGGCTGAGGCTGAGGCTGAGGCTGAGGCTGAGGCAGGCTGAGGCAGGCTGAGGCTGAGGCAGGCTGAGGCTGAGGCTGAGGTGAGGCAGGCTGAGCTGAGGCAGGCTGAGGCTGAGGCTGATGGCAGGCTGAGGCTGAGGCAGGCTGAGGCTGAGGCCGAGGCTGAAGGCAGACTGAGGCTGAGGCTGAAGCAGGCTGAGGCTGAGGCTGAGGCAGGCTGAGGCTGAGGCAGGCTGAGGCTGAGGCTGAGGCAGGCTGAGGCTGAGGCTGTGACTGCGACTGCCGTTGCCACCGCGACTGTCATCGCGAATGCGATTACGACTGCGAGAACAGAAGAATTCTATAACTGGATTCTCATCTGAATCTTAAGGGGAATGCTTCCAGCTATGCTCCTACACATCGCTGTTAGGTTGCTTTGCCGGGATAATCTATACGTTTTGGCTAGAATTTGGATGTCCCCCCTTTCCGGCTTTCCGACGCTCCAAGACAGTCCGAGACGCCCCCAAGACCGCCCCATGAGGCCGCTAGCGGGGGCCGGCGGAATGAGCGAAGCGATTAAATAAAGGCTTCCGCGGCCCAAGGGGGGCAAGGAGGCAAGGGATGGGTTCCGAAAGACGAACGACGACCACCCCGGAACATAAAAACTTCGGCGGCCAAGAGGGTGGGGAGAGGGAGAGTGCACGGGGGCAGGGAGGACAGTGGGGGGTCCGCGGACCAAAAGGTAGAGGCCAGGGAGGCCAGAAGAGGGCGAACCACGACCAAGACGAAAATAAAGAGGCCCGAGCTCTAGACCACAGTTGTGCTAGAGCCGGCTCAGGGGCCAGGGAGAGCGAGCGGGCTGGGGCCAGGGCGAGGGGTGGGCCAGGGGAGGGGGCCAGGGGGAAGGGCGGGTACCGCGGCCCAGAGGGGGGAAGCCAAGGAAGCCAGAAAGGGAGGACGAGCCGCGACCACGACGAAAACGGCGCCCTCCACAGCCCGGACAGGAGGTAGCCCGGGGGGGAGGCCGAGGGGTCTGGGGATAGGTTCCGCGGCCCTGCAGGGAGGAGGCCAGGGGGCCGCGGCAATGACGCGGAGGACGAGGCACGCTCACGACGAAGAGGCAGGGCTTCGCGGCCCTGAGGGGCGAGGCCAAGAGTGTGCCACTGGCAGGTCCTGGGGCCCAGAGAGGGGCGGCCAGGGGGGCCGTGGGCCTCCTCCTCTGCCTCCTCTTCCTGCTCCTCCTCCCCCACCTCCTCCTCCTCCTCCTCCTCCTCCTCCTCCTCCTCCTCCTCCTCCTCCTCCTCCTCCTCCTCCTCCTCCTCCTCCCCTCCTCCTTCTCCGCGGAGGGCGAACCACGACCACCCGGCGGTGGACAAACCTCCCTTTAGTAAACCACCCTTTTTAGCGAAAACGGCCTAGGACCAAAACCGACGGACCTGGACCCGCAAGAATGACGACCGCGACGCCCTCTCCCGAATTGAAAACGGCCATTTCGCCAATCGACGTGTTAGGGTAGGAGGTCTATCAACCTCCGAAACACGTGATAATAAAAGATTATGCGGCCGGAGGGGGGGAGGGGACAGGAAGGTCAGGGGTGGGCTCCGCGGTCCAGAAGGGAGGAGAGGGAGGAAGACCAAGGGGCGGGCCAGAGAGGCCAGGGACGATTCCGCCAGCCAGAGGGGAGGAGGCCGGGGAGGCCAGGGAGGGGAGGATGAGCCAGGGGAGGAGGCCAGGGAGGCTGGGGGGGCGGTTCCACTGCCCAGAGCTGGAGGCCAAGGGGGGAGGACGAACCACGACCATGACGAAAACAGGTGAGTCCGCGGTGCACGGGGGCGGGGCCAGGAAGGCCAGAAGCGAATGCCGCGGCCCAGGGAGGGGATGCCAGGGAGGACAAACGGGAATGAACCACCACCACAACGAAAATACAAAATTCGGCGGCCCAGGGGGGTGAGGCCAGGACCACGGCGAAAATGAGTGGTTCCGCTGCCCAGGGGGGTGCGGCCAGAAGGCCAGGGGTGGGTTCCGCGGCCCAGAAGAGAGGAAGCCCAAGGGGTGAGGCCAGGGAGGCCAGGGATGGGTTCCGCGGCCGTGCAGGGAGGCCAGTGAGAGGAGGACGAACCAGGGGGGTGGGGCCAGGGAGGCCAGGGGTGGTCTCCGCGGCCGTGGAGGAAGGAGGCCAGGGGGGAGGGGGAGGGGGTGGGGGGAGGGGGCGAACCACGATCACGACGACCACGACCACGAACCACAAACCAGGGATGGGTTCCGCGGCCCACGGAGTAAGGGCCCCGGGGCCAGGAGCTCGGGCCCAGTGCCAGGGCTGGGCCAGGGGCTCTCGGGACAGGAAGGGGCGGAAGAAGCACGGGACCGCTACGATAAAATAGAGGGGGCGTCATGAGTGTCATGATCGCCACAGTCTACGTGGCAGGCGGGACTAGCGAGAGCCAGGGATTAACCGACGCCCCTCGACGCGTCGGATCCGACTGACCGCGGCCTCCAAGACGGGGGCCGAGGGACCCTTGCGGGTGCCGCGGCCCAGAGAGGGGAAGCCAAAGAGGCCAGAGGGGGCGACGCACCGCGACCACGAGGGAAATCGAGGGGCTCCGCTGCCAAAAGGGGGCGAGGCCAGGCAGGGCACGTGTGGCTTCCGCAGCCGAAAAGAAGATGAATCCCGAGCCTCGGCCACGAACTCGTTCCGCGACCTAGATCCCAAGAAACGGGCCGAAACCCAGAGCCCTTCCTGAGCCCAAGGTGGTCCTTATTTCAGCGTCTTGGCTGCGTTCTCGTATGAGGACGGTCGTAGAAGCTTCGCGCGGCAACTTGAGACCCAGTTTGCGTCGAATCCGCGTCGGATTCACCTCGGCCTGACGACGGATTCACGTCGGGTTTACGTCCGAACATCCCCGCGCGAACGTCGTCATGTCTGACGGGGCGAACGTGTGGAACAGGCTGGACAACTCTTGCGCGCCACGTGAGGCATCCAGGCCCTTCCTTGTCGTGCTCATGGTTCCTCCCAACTGGTGTTCCAGCCCAGAATTAAGAGTCGGGCGTGTCCCCCTACAGGAAAGTATTCCAAAATAGTCAAAGAAATAGTCTGGGGAGGATGTTTACCATTTCTTGACCATTTGGGACTATCTTTTGAGTACCTGCTATCTTTCGTCGAAAATCCCCCGGTAGAGGGACACGCCCGACATGAGCCCAGACATCCGGCGTCTCCATCTTGTCGAGACACGGGCATCCGACCTCTCGACCACTTCCCCGGGGCCGGCTTCTGCTCCCGAGTCGCTCCTGTCGGGTCGGGCGAAAGGGGGGGATAGCAAAGGGGGGGTTCGAGAGTCAGCTCACGTAGCTGATTTTCCCGGCGCCTCCCGGCGCCGGAGGCGGCTATGTGTCGAGGAATGGGCCCGGCGGCGGGGCCGAAACCAGCTACATGCAGCAGATTTCGTACCCCCCCTTTCCCAAACCCCCCCTTGCGCCCGACCCGATCCTGGACCTTCCCAGAGCCCGCGGCGGGCCCCGAGAGGCCGACGAGCACCGCCGTCGCAAGACCCCCCGCGCCCGGGCCCCCTCGAGCGGCGCCAGCCGCTGCCTGGGAAGCGACGACTGGCCCAGAGATCCGATGTCGTGATTTTTTCAAGACGGGGTCCCAAGGATTACAAAAAACCCGAAGGATTGCAAAAGAGGGTTGCAAAAAAAAACCCAGTTGAACGAAGGATTGCAAAAAAACTAAGGATTTCAAAAAAACGAAGGACTGCAGGATTTCCAAAAAACGGGTTTTTATTGCAATCCTGCAGTCTCGACCCATTCCCCAGGACCGGATTTTCATCCTGAATCGTTTTTTGACGGTCCCGGGGCTCGGCGAGGGCCCCTGGGGGCCGAACTTTGCGAAAAGCCTCCGCCTGGATTTGTTCAACACGTTGGGTCTCTGGGGGGCACCGGCGGGAGCCTCGTCCGGCACGACGATCGTGATGACAAGCGGCTCCGGGCCCTCGCTGCACACGCGGGCCGGGGTGCTGTGCAGGCCCAGCGGCACCTGCCCGCGGCCCGCGGCAGGCACGCGGGCACGGCGGCGGGGAGCGGACGATCGAGAGGGCGGGGGGGGGGAGCGACGGGGGCCGCTGGGCGCCGCGCGGGGGGGGCGGAAGCCCCAGAGGCCCGGCCACGCTTTGCTCTGCGGGGCGAGAGCGAACCGCTGCCGCGAAAAGCTGGGCGGGCTACGCACAGCTTCAATGAGGGAGACAGGGCACAGGAAGGCGGGGCCTCAGGCGGGGGGGCCCGGCCACACAACGGCCGCAAGATGCCCCGATGGCCCCACCAGGGGCCCCAGGAGGTATCCAAGAGCCTCCAGGCCGACTGGGCGTGGTGACGGGGTGGGCCGAGGGCTTGCAGATGTGCACGCGTGCCTGGTCAGCGGCCCGCTGCGATGGCATCCAGGCGGCACGGCGGTGCTTACAGCGCGACCGCGAACGCGCAGCACGGCCTGACAGACAGACAGACACACAGACAGACAGACAGACGGACGGACGGACGGACGGATGGACGGATGGACGGACAACCAAGGATCGACGCTCGGCGTCTAAGGCGGCGGTGCTCGGAAGAAGACAGGGAGGCTTCGAGAGAGCCGCCAGGCTTCTCAGAAACCTGTGGGGCCCTCTGGGGAGGCAGCTGCTCTCCGGGAAGCCCCTCTGCCTTCTCAGAAGCCCACCCCCGTCGAGAACCCCCCTTTTGTGGGCGCTGCCAAGCCTAGACGCCTAGACGAAGAACAAACGCAATTCACATAAACTCTGAGCTCCGCGCGAATTTATTGGATCTGCGCTGATACCTTCGCTGGCGGGCGGAGAGCCCCGAGTCGTGGCGCCGGAGGCGCTGCCAGGAGATCGAAGCGCAGATCCAGAAACTCCGCGAAGAGATCCGAAAGTGTATGTATGTGCCGTTTTTTCTTCGAGAACCACTCGAGACTGATCGCATGTGCCGTTCGCCGATGCTCCCCCTCTGCTGCCACGGCCGATTCCCCCACGACCGCCGCCGCCGCAGACGCCAGCACCACGAGCCCGACGCCAGGCACGCGCCAACACGGATCATGGATCCGTGGATCTTGGACAGCGCCCCGAACCTTTCCTCGTCGCCGCGGCAAGGATCCACCCCGCGCTCGAGGGCAGCCGAGGGGTGCAGCGGGGCCGACTTGGGCACAGCCGGCGAGGGGAGAGACGGAGCGCGGGGAGGCAGGGAGAGCGCGAGGCGGGGAGGTATCCACATCCGACGCCTAGGAACCGACGTGCTGGTGCCCCCGCGGGCGGTGGATGTGGATATATTCTGGCCCCCGGGGGCCCGAATACATATATATATATATATATATATATACATACATATATATATATATATATATATATATGCACACACATGTGTATATATATATATATATATATCCATACCCATATCCATCTCCATCTCCATCTCAATATCCATATCCATATCCACCACCTGCCGAGGTTCTCTAAAATTGATCCTCGAGGCGGCGGTCATGCATAAGTTCCCGCCTCGGAGCGAGGAGCGCGCTCGGAGCGCCCACGAAGCGTGGGCCGCAGGGGCGCCTGCGCGGACAGGAACGCTCGGAGCTGCGCGCGGGCGCCTCGGATGGCGCCGCGCGCCCCCCACCGCCAGGGGCGGCGCCGGAGGCGCCGCTCGAGCTGGCGGCGGAGCCCGTCGATCCCGCACGTAAACGGGACCCGTCGCTGATCCACGCTGCTTGATCTGCGCGCTGCCGCGACGATGGCGCGGCCTGCCTCTTTCCACGACTGCTCAGTAGGAGTATTACTCTCCTCTCCCTCCACGACTCTCTCTCTCTCTCTCTCTCTCCCCCCTTTTTTTTTCTCTCTCTCTCTCTCTCTCTCCCTCTCTCTCTCTCTCTCTCTCTCTCTCTCCCCCCCCGACTGCGTCCTGAGGGTATCCCACCCTCCGTGCACTGTCTTGTGCACGTCGGATGTGACATTGACTTTCGGCATGGCTTGTTCCTCTCGAAACGCCTTCGGTGTCTCAGGGCGGAGTTCCCGCCACAGCACCTCACTGCGGGCTCGGCGCTGTGCTCCCGTCGCTCAAACTGGCGCTCTCACCCCAGCGTGGGCCACACTCTCTGGATCCGAGTGCCTCCTCGTCACTGTCGCCCCCATTCCGTCCCCCTTCCCCACCTTCCCCTGGTCCTCCTGCTCCTCCCGCTCCTCCTGCTCCTGCCGCCGCGGCTCCTCCTCTTCCTCCTTCATCCTCCTCTTCCTCCTGATCATTATCCTGCTCGTCTGCCACCTCCTCCTCCTCCTCCTCGAACGTGCAAAGCTCCCCTCTTCGGAAGAAGCACAACATAAGAAGGTCCGTTCGGGGGCTCCAGTTCCCTATGACGCCCGTCGGCGGACAGCGGCAAAAACAGCGCAGTGGGAAGGGATGGGCGTGCAGGACGTCAGATGTGGCGCGAGCGCACCTGACTTGCCCGCCCCACCTCTCCGCCCCCACTCCCCTTCGACGCCGCAGCTGCTCCGCCCACTCCGCTGTGCGCTGGCTGCCCCCCGCCCCCCTCGGTCTCCCTCTCCCTCTCTCCTGAGGGGGGGCGACGATGGGGGGCGGGGAGGAGGAGAAGGAGCAGGGAGGAGGAGGAGGAGGAGGAGGAGGAGGAGGAGGAGGAGGAGGAGGAGGGAGGAGCAGGAGGAGGAGGAGGACTTTCCACGACTTTCCCCAAGGACGACGTCCCATGGAGGAGGAGGAGGAGGAGGAGGAGAAAGGAGGAGGAGGAGGAGGAGGAGGAGGAGAAAAGGAGGAGGAGGAGGAGGAGGAGGAGGGAGGAGGAGGAGGAGGAGGGAGGAGGGAGGAGGAGCAGGAGGAGGAGGGCCCCCACCGACGACGAGATGGGGGTGCCCGATATATCCCAGTGCGTCGGCTGGACCCGCAGGAACAGGGCTCTCGCGTGCGGCCGTAGGCCAGCGCCCTACATGCGGAATCCGGACGAAAATCTGTTTAACGAAATATCAGACAAACAAAAAAAACATATACAAAACATCAGAATACGCAAAATACTAAAACATGGAACAAATCCAGAACACCTCAAAATACTCAAAAATCTTCCAAAACTATTCCAACCAAATCCAGATACTCGAAACATCGTCCCCAGACGATGTCTTGACTGTTTCAGGGTACTCCTCCTGTGGAGGCACGTGCCCGACTGACGCCCCACGGCGAGCCCCCCCGTGCTCGAGGTGGGCAGCAGGCTGCCGTGCCAGTCCTCGCGCCCACCCTTCCCTCGGCTACACGCAAGAGTGACCCTGGGTAAGAGTGACCTTTGGTGCGCGGCTTTCTGGGGGCCGCGGGGAGACCAAACGTGGGCGCGCAAGCCGCTGCTACCGCCTCGTTCTCAGCCATCTGGGGACCCATCTGTGCCCGCACCAGAGGTCACTCCGGCGAAAGGTCACTCTTACGCCCACCCTTTCCCCGCACGCGCCTCGACCTGGGAGCGGCAATGCTCCCGGGCTCTGGGCCCGCGCCCCCCCCCCCCCCAGGATGGCATGGATCCCCAGGGGCCCCGCGCCCCCCCCCAGACGGGGTGGGGAGGGGGACGACGACGATGACGACGACGACGACGACGACGACGACGACGACGACGACGACGACGACGACGACGGCGGCGTGAACCCCGGAGAATATGCCCCCACGAAGGTTCCACAGCAGCACCACCCCACACACACACACACACACACACACACACACACACACACACACACACACACACACACACCCGCAGCTTGCACAGCCTAGGCCGGAAGAGCATCCCTCCAGAACACGAAACCCTCCGCTGGCAAAAACAAAAATTACCCTGGCGACGTACCCAACCCCTGCGCAAAAGCGGGGCGCAAATAGTTTAGGATACTTTATAAGGGGGCGATGACGGAGCGAAGGTTGCATATGTCTGCAGACGGAATTCGGGAGACTCGCAGGACACTGGCTACAGGAAAAGGGCTTGATAAAGCTGATGAGTTACAATTCCTGAGCACTCCTAGCCACTTCGAAAACAGGGATAACAGCAGGCCTCGAAAGTGGCGACAGTTTCACAGATCGCAGCCCCGCAGGGATGGCGAGGTCTAATTTGGGTCCGCGCGTGGCGTCACTGTGCTGGGCCCCCCAGCAGGCCTCGAAAGTGGCGACAGTTTCACAGATCGCAGCCTCCAGGGGATGGCGAGGTCTCATTTGAATCTGCCCGTGGCGTCACTGCGCTGGGCCCCCCAGCAGGCCTCGAAAGTGGCGACAGTTTCACAGATCGCAGCCCCCAAGGGATGGCGAGGTCTCGTTTGAATATGCCCGTGGCGTAACTGTGCAGGGCCCCCCAGCAGGCCTCGAAAGTGGCGACAGTTTCACAGATCGCAGCCCCCCAGGGATGGCGAGGTCTAATTTGAATCCGCGCGTGGCCCTCACTGTGCTGGGCCCCCCAGCAGGCCTCGAAAATGGCGACAGTTTCACAGATCGCACCCCCCCAGGGATGGCGAGGTCTCATTTGAATCTGCCCGTGGCGTCACTGTGCTGGGCCCCCCAGCAGGCCTCGAAAATGGCGACAGTTTCACAGATCGCAGCCCCCCGCAGGCAAGACAGGAAGAGGCAGGGAGGGAGGAGGAGGAAGGAAGGAGTGGAGACCACACTGCTCTATTCAAAGCGAATGCCCAACCAAGGAGGGCTGGGAAAAGACACTTTTTGGCGTCGGGTTGCTAGGCAGAGTCACTGAGCTGGCGAGTAGGGCGCTGGCAGGCGCACGAAACGCCAATGAAGCCACCATGCAGGATGGGGAGGGAGGAGGCACCAGGCGGCGGCGGGAGCGAGGAGGAAGCTGGGCCCGCTCAGGGCGAGGCCAGGCGCGCGGCGGGGGCGGCGCCAGGGGGGCGGGGTCCCCGCTCCCCTGCCCCGCGCCGCCCCCGCCGCGAAACCGAACACGTCGCGATGCGCAATCGTCGCCACGGGGGCGTGCCGACGAAGCCCGACAGCGTTGCGGAGAAAAGGTAAACATCAGCCTGGCGGGTGTGTGTGGGGGGGGGGGGTCTGAAGGGGCCCTGGGACACCCAAATGAACAGACACAGATGACAGCATGCCCCGTATTTGCCCATGTTTTCTGGGCTTTTGTCTTCCCCCCACTTCCCATACTCCAGATTTCGTAATAAAGGGAGGGGGGTCTCATTTCGGGGGGGGGTCTCTTCCAGGCTATCTTGGAGGGCCTGGGGGTTCTGGGGACGATGTTTTGGAGGGTTCTCCCGCGGAGGAGGTCTGAAATGGCTTGTCTTGGAGGGTCCAGACCCCCTCCCTTTTATTACGAAATCTGGAGTACTTTCCCATATCTTCCGGGGGATCGACGGATGAATTGTGTCTGTGAGTGTGGTTTTCCCTCCTGGCTCTCTCGAGGGGACCAGCGGCGGCCGCGCCGGCGGCCGAGGGGCGGGCGGGTCGCCGAGGGTGCCCTCCCCAGGAGGCACAAGGGCATCCAGCAGGCACGAAGAACACCTGAGATCATTAGTGGGAAAGCAAACCTACCTCGCTTTTGACCACCCTCGCTTCCAAGAGATACCAAGCGATGCCCAACTACGGCCTGCACTGGTCGGGCCGCTTGACGAGGAGGCGCGTGGTATGACTTGGTTTTGCCTGGAAGCGAAAGCGGGGTAGGTAATTCACGCTCTGAATCATGTTGCTCCCGTCGCACCTAAGGACCACATCCCAGAAGTCATGTCCGAGCACCCAATAAACAGCACCGAAGAGGTGTCGAACGAGTATCGCCTCCCAGGGCCCGGTACGCGAAACCTCCAAAGATCGGTCATTTCCTGGTGCTCGAGATGCCTTCTGGCGATCCAGGCGACAGCAGGCTGGAACATCATACACCTAAGAGGGTAGACCCTCCCCGAACCGACCTTGACCTGATTCGGGAGCGGCCAAGAGGGGGGTGTCCAAGAGGGGGGGGGTGCAAATCATGACCGGCGGCACGTGCGCCGCCCAGCGGGGGGGCCTGGGACGTAATGAAATAAGACGAGGCGCCCTAAAATCTGAGGAAAAATCATCATGGCCCGCACCATGAACTCCACCCCCCCCTAGTCATCACCCCCCTCTTTTCCGCTCCCGACTGATGGGTACCTCGGCCGACCGCTGCGAGCGCTCGAAGCCCAGACCCCCGACGTCATGATTTTTTCATGACGTCGACCCCCCGAGGTCTCGACCCATTCCCCGGGACTGGTTTTTCGTCCTGAGTCGTTTCTTGACGGTCCCGAGGGCCGGTAAGGGCCCCCAAAGGCCAAAAAGAATGAAACACCTCCCGTCGTGATTCTTTCATAACTCGAGGGGCTTAGCTGTGGCTTAGCTTTAGCTTAGCTTTAGCTTAGCTTTAGCTTAGCTTTAGCTTAGCGTTACTGTTACTACTAATGCTGCTTTCCTAGGGGTTCCAACTCCTAGGTAGGGTCGCACTGGGATAATTTTTTCATAACTCGAGGGGGTCTGGAAGGTCCGAGCGCGCGCTACCTCGGGGCGCCGCGCGGAGGGCCTTCCCCCGCGCGCGGGAAACGCGCCAGGGCCTCTCGGCGCGCCGGGGGCGCCGCGGGAGCCCCGCGCGGACCCAGGAGATCAGCGCGGAGCTCCGGACGTCGTCGTCGCCGTCGTCGTCGTCGTGGAAGATCGCCGTCGTCGTCGTCGACGTCGTCGTCGTCGACGACGAGAGGGGGCCGCATGCGAACCCGACCCCTGCCCCCCCCCCGATTTCTGAGGGGGAGGGTGGGGTTGTTCACGTCGTTCGGGAGCTCCCGAGCGAAGTGAACCCCACCCTCTCCCTCAGACATCGTGGGGGGCAGGGGTCGGGTTCGCGTGTGGCCCCCTAAAAGACGCCTCCCCTCGGCGCGCCGAGGAGGGGTAGATGTGGCGGTCGGCTATGGACGGGTAGCCGTGCCGAGGGTCCGCCATCGGCCGCGGGGCAAATTCCTGCCGCGCGCCCGGGCCGGTGGAGAGCCGGTGCCCTCCGATCGACCGGCAGGGAGGGCCGGATGAGGACGGCTCCCTCGGCCGGGGCAAGGAGGAGGAGGAGGAGGAAGAGGGGGGGGAGGAGGAGGGAGAGGAGGGAGAGAAGGCAGGAGGAGGAGGAGGAGGAGGAGGCAGGAGGAGAAGGAGGAGGAGAGGAGGAGGAGAGGAGGAGGAGGAGGAGGAGGGGAGGAGGAGGAGAGGAGGAGGGCGGAGGGAGGAGGGAGGAGGGAGGAGGGAGGAGGGAGGAGGGAGGAGGGAGGAGGGAGGAGGGAGGAGCGAGGAGGGAGGAGGGAGGAGGGAGGAGGGAGGAGGGAGGCCCGCGCAGATCGACCCCTCAGGCGGTGGTTGTGGATACATTCCCGGCTCGGACGCAGGCATGCGATGTCCTGATTTTCTCGATGCGCGGTCGCCGAACATCCCGCCCCTTGCCCCGGGAGCGGCTTTGGGTCCCGAGTCGTGTGTGGAAGGTCCCGGGGCCCAGCGAGGGCCCCCAGAGGCCGAAAAGGGCCAGAAAACCTCCCGTCCTGATTTTTCACGACTCAGGCATGCCTGAGAAATTGAGCAGGGACCGACCGTCCCGGCATTCCTATAGGCCTACCACGAAGTGTTCCTAGAACCCGAAGAATGCCGTAAGAACAAAAGCAATGTTCTTAAAACAGAAACTCGATGTGTTCAAACAAGACAGTCCCAGCAAGAAATGTTATACGAACATTTCGTGCAGATCACCAAAGGTTCTTAGAAAGTTCTTGGGTGGGCCTATAGGCGAGCCAGGACGCTTCGCCACTGCTTGAAAAAGGGCCCGAACATTCGTCCTTATGTTGTTCACGACGCTGAGTATCGTTTAACCGTTCCCCATCCCCAGCGGCGTGGCCTGGCCCCACTGGCCGATGCACCCCCGTAGATTGGGGACAAAGGTCGCTCCCTTCGGGTTTCGAGGGGCGTATCCCCAATCTGGGGGGGTAACTTGGTGGGGGCCTCGAAGGGGATGGGGATGGGCATGGGGATCGGTCCAACGATACAGTCGGGGCGTTGACCTAAGGAACCCTCAATAAGGAACGGGGCCCCTTTTTTCCATAAGTTGAACTTTGACTTCCCACCGAAGACCTGAGGAAAACCTGAGGCAGGCTGCAAAACAATGAAGGAACACGAAGCCCCTCCCCAACGAGAAGGGTTCCTTCTGCAGCGCCCCGACTGTACCGAGACTCCGGCACGTCTCCCCAATCTGGGGCGTATCCCCAATCTGGGGGGGCGTATCCCCAAACTGGGGCGTATCCCCAATCTGGGGGGGTAACTTGGAGGGGGCCTCGAAAGGGGATGAGGATGGGCATGGGAATCGGCCCAACGATACCGAGACTCCGGCACGTCTGAGAGAACGCAGCGGCCGCAGGATCCGCAAAAGAAAAGCGGCAGCGGCGGCGGCAGGGGCGCCGCGCCGGGCCGGCGTCGGGCTCCGCGGGGAGGAGCACCGGCACGGGAGGCGAGGGGGGCGCGGGGGCGAGAGCGAGAGCGGGCGCGAGAACGAGCGCAGAGAACGATCACGATCATGAGCATCGTCATCATCATCATCATCATCATCATCATCATCATCATCATCATCAGCAGCAGCATCAGCATCATCGTAATCATCACCATCACCATCAGCATCATCATCATCATCATCATCATCATCATCATCATCATCATCCTCATCATCATCATCATCATAATCATAATCATAATCATCAGCATCATCGTAAGCATCACCATCACCATCAGCAGCAGCATCAGCATCATCATCAGCATCATCAGCATCATCATGCGAATGTGCAGTGGAAGCGTGCAGGAGTGTAAAAGTGGAGGTGGCAGAACAACGGTCCGTGTGAGATCGCACGCAGAAACATGCAGGGGTGTAGGAATGCAAGAATGTAAGAGCATAGTGTACAATAGTGCTAGAATGACAGAGTGCGAGTGCAACAGTGCAAAGGCTCAAGGGTGTAAGAATGGAAATGTGTAAGACTAGAGGAGTGTGAAAGTACAACTGTGACACTATGTAAAAGCGCGACCTTGTGATAGTATGAACATGTGGGAGCATGGCAGCATGGCAAATCCATGCAGGGAGGGCATGGGACTATAGATGCGACGGCAGCCAATGAGAGCACGAACACTACAACACTACTTCGAATGAGGCGAAATGCGCTAACAACATTATGAATATGAGTGCGCACGTGGGAACAAGTGTCGGAATGAGTATGGTTACGGGTATTGGCATGGGTTTGAACGTTGGTGCGAGTGCAAGCATAATGATAAATCTGAGCCTAAATATGAGCAATGGTATGGGTAGAGGTATAAGCATGGGCATGAACATGGGCATTTGAATGAATGCTGAGCTGGATATGGCTATCTGCATCCGTACCAATACTAGTGACCGGCTCGACAATGTGCACGCATCGATACCAACAGCCGAGATAACGCCAGCACCGCTGTCTGACCAAATATATTCACAATTCAACATGCGTGCGCGAAAGAGACCGAACACCATACCCATACCCGCGCCCACACCTATACACTTGTTTAGTCGCAGCGCTGGCGGACGCTCAGCGCGGTCGGAGCGGCAAACTGGGCAGCGGAATCGCGAGATACACCTATACACACATACACACGCACACCCACAGGGATGCCGTGGTCGTTCGACTATTCGGGCTCGTGCGCGGCGTGTGATAGCGCTGTGTTTTTTTTTTCGAGCGGACTTTTGAAAGCTGACACTTGAGAGCTGACTTCTGAGAGCATGCCTGTCTGGAGGTCGGAGAAGGGGTGTGGCACAAAAAAAGGTGTGGTGCCAATCCTGGAACTGGCAATGCCATCGATGATGGACAGCACTGCTGGATTCAGCAGTGGCACCGCACCACTTCACACCACACCCTTGTTCTCGGCTACACGCAAGAGCAACCCTAGGCAAGAGTGACCTCGAGTGCGCGGATAAAGGGGGCGCCAGGTGCCGAAACTCAGGCCACTGCCGCATCGCGCTCGGCGATCGGGGGACCCCGTTGGGCCCGCGCCAAGAGGTCACTCTGGCGAAAGGTCGCTCGTAGGTCTAGTCGATCTTCTACCTCCAGAAGTCATGAGGGACAACGGTAGGGAGGGACTGACATAGGGGGATATGCATCGACCTGGAATCGGCGATACATCGCCGATAGAGCGACGATAGGCCCCCGATGGTGAATCCGCACCTTCCTGGGCAGGTTGGGGTCTCGGCCCCCTGCCGGCGATCAGTGGGCGATTGGGGGTCGATGCATCCCCCCCTATTCAGTGGGCCCAAGGACACACAAATAAATACACACAAATAAAAATATTGTCCGCATTTTCCCCATATTTTCTCAGTTGTTGTCTTCCCGCCCAATTCCCATATTTTCCCATATTTTCTTGAAAATCGACGATTAATTGTGTCTGTTTGGTTCTTTCCCTCCAGACCTATGCCCATCCCCCCCTATCGTTGCCCCTGACTGTGCCGCCCGCCCGGCAGGCTTGACCGTGGACCGGGCCGAGGGCAGCGACCGCTCTGCCCCCGGGGCCGCGGCGGGCGTACCTTTGCCGCCCGCCAGGCCAGCGGCGGGCCACGGGGCGGGGCTGGGCCACGAGGCGGATGGAGGGCTCTGGCCCTCCGCTCCTCCTCCTCCTCCTCCTCCTCCTCCTCCTCCTCCTCCTCCTCCTCCTCCTCTGGAGCCATCCTCCTCCTCCTCCTCCGGAGCCATCCTCCTCCTCCTCCTCCTCCTCCTCCTCCTCCTCCTCCTCCTCCTCCTCCTCCTCCTGCTCCTCCGGAGCCCTCCTCCTCCTCCTTCTTCTCCTCCTCCTCCTCCTCCTCCTCCTCCTCCTCCTCCTCCTCCTCCACCTGAGCCATCCTCCTCCTCCTCCCTCCTCCTCCTCCTCCTCCTCCTCCTCCTCCTCCTCATCATCATCATCATCATCATCATCATCATCATCATCATCATCATCATCATCATCATCATCATCATCATCATCATCATCATCATCATCATCATCATCATCATCATCATCATCATCCTTCTCCTCCTCCTCCTCCTCCTCCTCCTATGGAGCCATCCGCGCTTCCGGGACCTCCAGAGAGACAAAAATGCGCGAGCGAGAGACCGCTCGCGGCAGAAAAAAACACAACGACAAGCAGATCGCGCCGTGCCAACATGGGCGGAGGAGGGCGGAAAAGGCGCCTCACTCTGGCTCCTCGCCCCTGCAACCCTTGTGCTGGGTCTTGCAGCAGTAATCGATCTTGGCCGGAGACCACGACAGCACCAGGCAGTGCATGCAGTGGTGGTAGCCCGCGTCGCAGTCGTAGACGCTCTTGTCTGGCTCGGGGGGCGCGTTGGACGGCGGCAGGCCCGAGGGCGGGGGCAATTCCGAAGGGCAACCCCTGTTCGCCGTCTTGCAGCAATACAGCTTCTTCTCGCCGGACCAGCCGCGGACCCACTGCAGCGGGTCCAGGTCGTTGTAGCCGGCGTTGCAATCAATCGGGCACGGAGATGTGGTGCTCCTCGCCGTCGTCACCACTGGCATCGGCATGGTGCTGGGCGCCGCCGGCGTCGTCGGGCAGCCCTTACCCTCGTGCAGGCAGCAGTAGACCTTCTTGGGCACGTCCCAGGACACGACATCGCCCTCGCCGCAGTTTATCTTCTTCTCAGTGGTCGGCGGGGGCGGAGGCGGCGGGGGCGGCGGGGGCGGCGGGGGGGGCGGCGGGGGGGGCGGCGGGGGCGGGGGCGGCGGCTTGGTGGTCGTCTTCTTGGTTGTGGTGGTGGTGTCGGGCGGCGCCGTGCTCGGCGGAATAAACGGCGTGGTGGTGGTGGTGGTGGTCGTCGTCGTCGAGCCCGGCGCCAGCGCGAACAGCAGGAGAGGCAGCAGAAGCAGACACAGCCCCAGGGGGATCACGAGCAGGCAGCAGCTCGGGCCGCGCCCTGGGATGCGCACCACGCCGAACTCGCCCGCGCCCATGCCCACGTACCGGTAGGTGGTCTCCTGGACGTAGTCGCCCCCCGCGCCGACGTAGCTGAGAATCGTGCTGCCGCCGGCGCCGCAGCCGGAACCCTCGGCGCAGGCCACGCCGCAGGCGGGGCCGCAGCCCATGCAGGCGCTGGTGCTGGCGCAGCATGCGGTCGCACAGTCCGCGCCGCCGGCACCGTACGCGCCGCCGGCGCCGGCGCCGTAAGGGCCAGCAGCGCCGTACGCGCCGCCGGCGCCGGCGCCGTAAGGGCCGGCAGCGCCGTACGCACCGCTGGCGCCGTACGCCCCGTAGCCCCGGCCGAGGCCCCCACCGAGGCCTCCGCCGTGTCCCCCGTAGCGGAAGGACATGGCGCCGCGCGGAGACTAGGAGCTGTGGCTGTTGCAAGATGTCTCTTGGAGTATGTACAAGCCAAGAGTGCCTGAGCCAACGATAGCCTGGGGCCAAAATGGCTACGGACGACGTGTGATAGCGCTCTTGGCACGGGCATGGCTGCGGGTATGAAAATATACAGGTGTGGGTATTGCTGTGAATACATGTAGATCTGGTCCAGTACTCTCGCGAAACAGGAGCTGTTTCGGATCAAGCGGATCCGTTGTCTATATCGCACTTGGGAGCAGCAAACAACTCCCTCTCCTGACCAGGTCTATCCCGGATAATTCGGATGCTCAAGGTTCGGGGGGAATTGGCTCAGCGGGCAACGTGTTCAAACGTTTTCGACAGTCTTCGAGGCCCTGAGTGGTTTTCATCAGCTTCGCCTCGTCGCGGGCGCTCCGAGGGTGTCCGCCGCGGGTTCGAGTTATGGCGCGACAGCCGCTCGGATCAGAGGGAAGGTCGGGAGGTGACAGGATCAGGGGTGTCGCTTCGGGTAACCTGGTCAGGCTTCGGGTTGCGCACAGGCAGCCCCCCAGGCAGACCTGCCTGGCCTCAGCAGGCCCCCCCGCGTAGTTCCAGCTGCCCCGGGACGCTCCGCGCCCCAGGGTTGGGGTGCTGGGGCCGCCCCAGACTGCTCGGGGGGCCTGCTGAGGCCAGCCGGGGCCTCCTGGTGGGGCACTCTGTGCATTTCCCGTGGCCTTAACCTGCGAGAGGGGAGGGGGGTCGCGCCACATCCTTTCTAGCCAATCCTTTCCAGCTGCGCTGGTGCATTCCCCCTCTGCCTGCGGGTGTGATGGCGGGCCTGGACCATGCGCATTGGACAAAAGGTGAGTCGCGAGACACACCTACACACATACACACGCACACCCACAGGGATATCAGCACCCGCACTCGCTCCCACTTACATGCCCAGACCGATACTCATCCCTGTACCATACGCGCCCCCTTTGACCAAACTTGCGTCCCTCTCATACCTGTACCCGCACTGCCCCCCGCACTTCTACGAGCACCCGTACCCGTAGCCGTGCTCGTTCGACTATTCGGGCTCGTGCGCGACGTGTGATAGCGCTATTTTTTGCGAGTGGGCTGTTGAAAGCTGACTCTTGAGAGCTGACTTCTGAGAGCATGCCTGTCTGGAGGTCGGAGAAGGGGTGTGGCACAAAAAAAGGTGTGGTGCCAATCCTGGAACTGGCAATGCCATCGATGATGGATAGCACTGCTGGATTCAGCAGTGGCACCGCACCACTTCACACCACACCCTTGTTCTCGGCTACACGCAAGAGCAACTCTAGGCAAGAGTGACCTCGAGTGCGCGGATAAAGGGGGCGCCAGGTGCCGAAACTCAGGCCACTGCCGCATCGCGCTCGGCGATCGGGGGACCCCGTTGGGCCCGCGCCAAGAGGTCACTCCGGCGAAAGGTCGCTCGCAGGTCTAGTCGATCTTCTACCTCCAGAATGTATGAGGGGCAACGGTAGGGAGGGACTGGCATAGGAGGATATGCATCGACCTGGAATCGGCGATACATCGCCGATAGAGCGACGATAGGCCCCCGATGGTGAATCCGCACCTTCCTGGGCAGGTTGGGGCTCTCGGCCCCCTACCGGCGATCAGTGGGCGATTGGGGGTCGATGCATCCCCCCCCTATGCCCATCCCCCCCTATCGTTGCCCGACTGTGCCACCCGCCCGGCAGGCTTGACCGTGGACCGGGCCGGGCAGCGACTGCTCTGCCCCCGGGGCCGCGGCGGGCGTACCTTTGCCGCCCGCCAGGCCGGCGGCGGACCACGGGGCGGGGCCGGGCCACGAGTCGGATGGAAGGCTCTGGCCCTCCTCCTCATCCTCCTCCTCATCCTACTCCTCCTCCTCTGGAGCCATCCTCTGGAACCATCCTCCTCCTCCTCCTCCTCCTCCTCCTCC